TTGATTCCGTATTGCAATAATTAGTTCCATGTCTGTGAAAGAGGAAGTAGATGACTGATCCCTTTTTATTTTTATGACAAGAAGTTTGTTTGATCTCTTTTCTAGTACATACAATCATTTATTACTATTATTAATTCGAAATTTTTAAAAAAAATATTCATGTTATGTTTACAATGTTGATTTTGCATGTCTTGTAAGAAAACCTAATTAAAAAAAATGACTTAAAGGTTATATTAGTATTATTTCTATTTTAATTAATATGCAAGGAACCCTTATTTTATAAACATTTATATAAGTTCAGAAAGTTATTTTAATATCGTTAAAAATTTGAAATAGAGCAAAGGAACTTGAAATAGCGAGAGTACTCACCAAAGCGCCTTCTGCATCTCCTCACGGGTCTGAGTCAGCTCCACGTGAATTCTTCGTCCGTGCCGCCGTCGTAGATCCGAAGTCGCGATTTATACGATCGAAACCGTTCAAACTGGTCAAAGGTTCTACCAATTGTCGCGAAAGACCAACTGCGCCAGTTACGATATGGCGGCGATCGAAATACTTTAAAAAAAATATAATTTATTTTAATTTCAGAAAAGTAACAAAAATAGTTAATTGGAACAAATTGTAAATTTACAAAAAGAAGTTAAGTTATGCGTGGATGGTGTCAGACTGCGAGACAGTTCCATTGTTTCCACGATGATACTTTTCGCAGCGCAAGCGTTCCACATATGTTCATTGTTATATTTAACTGCTATGTCAGACTGATTCCAGGGTAACGACACGTTAACTCTTGCAAAAACAAATTATTTTACAATTATTATTATTTAAAAAAATGTTCCAACTATGGCCTATTTGGGACCATACCATTTAATATATTACAACACATGACCATTATCCATCTATGTTTTTAAGAATGGTCATTTCGATATATTTTTTCATCACAGATTGCGGGATTATTAAAAAAATTAAACTGCAGAGAAGTTGTCGTTATATGCTGTTCTGATGAGCACATCAAAAGTACTTTACTGTTTCTGGACGTAATAATTATGCTGTCTGCAAATGTCACTCAAGCCAACGGATTAAGAATTTGGTTTCAAAATACTGTAGAAATAATTTTCTAGCTGTTTACGCTTGTATTTTGTTTAAAATACCCTTTAGACTAAGGGATTTGTTAGTAACGATCAATCATCAACCTAATGAATGATATTATACGGCAGACTCCCTCATTACTTAGTAACATCAATGTGATAAAGTCGATCTATTATGTTTCCTTAATGATTCTAACTTTACATAAAAGACTGAACGTGAAATCTGTGATTTATATTAATATAAGTAAAAGTTCAAGTTACAGTCTATATAAGTCCCACTGCTGGGTACAAGTACCCTCTCATTTCTGAGATGGTTTCAGGGTAGCGATATGAGCGTGTTGACGGACTTTATATGTCTTCGAAACATTTGTTTTATTTTTAAAACATCAGGTTTCCTCACGATGTTTTCCTTCACCGCCTAGCACGTGGTAAATTAGCACTTAAATTGCAACTAACAATTTCATTTGGGCCGGCGGAGATCAAACATAGGTTGCTCGCGTACTTTAAAATTTAAAGCGAGTGCTTAGCCCCTGAGTTGCCACTGTTCTAATATCTTATATATTAATAACTGCAGGGAATAAATTTGTTCAGGAAAGGATTCAGAATGCCTTCATTGACTTTGTAGAAGCCAGACTACGAAAGTACTACTATCGCAAAGGCAAAAATGACCCTTACTCGAGATAGCAAAAATGTGTTGATAATAATCCGTCGAATGTAAAATAAATACACACACGTGTGTGTGTTTATTTTACATTCGACGTGTGTGATTTGTGACACACACACATACATACACACACACACACACACACACACACACACACACACACACACACACACACACACACACACACACACACTATCGTAATCCTTAGTGGTGACAACGGATCAGAATTATGATTCTTACTCTAGGATAGATTCAGTTGTGCACGGTGAATTGCATATCAATATTAAATAAAATGTGTGGCTGTGCGGTAACATTAATTATAAACAAGCATACACAAAGCATTACAACCTTTTTAAATAATAGAAAAAGGGTGACTAACAAAACGGTTCCACCTAATAAGAAGTGGATAGTGTGAACAATAGAAGTCTATATTTAATAAAGGTTAAACCTAAGGAAGGGAATGCTTAGTTACCAGTAAGAAAATACTTAAAAAACAGTAGTATAATTCTGCTGTTTCATGCTGGTATTCTGTGAAAGCTTGGTACTTCCCCGGTCGAGTCGACCTATTCGTGTTACAACCATAATATAACATCTATTGCCTTCTCTACGACGTAGAGTGGTAGCGCTTAGAGCCGCTGTACATCACAAAATAGTCTCAACTACAATGATCTAAGTAATAAAAAATATAAAATAAAATTTGTTTATTTCCTACGTTGTGCCAAATAGTGCTAGTACAAATTTACTTAAAAATTATGTTGGTAAAAAGATATAAAAATATGGGTTATGTGCTATAAAAGTAGTGTATATTGCTGAAGATTTAAAATAAACTGAATGAATTATGATGGAGAGAGTTATCTTTTTCGTTATGCACTTTTTTATGCACGGAAATACACAGCATCATTTGCGTATGTCAAAAGTTCTCTAGAATTCATTTTCACAATGAATCTGAAAATTGCTTTATTAACTACGTTAACCAATGTTTTCCGATTTCCGCCATCCACCTGATTTTTCAATGGAAGAAAGGGGAGGAATTAATGTGTAAGATATATATCTGAGAATCGAATGGGCAGCACCATCTTCCTAATAACCACTTAAAATAAAATAAAAACTGCGGTTGCAACTATGACATATATACCCTCTGTAATGCAAACTATGGGTGACGCCAATGTTCAGCGTTGGACTTTATTATGATGTAACGGTGTTACGATAAGAATAGTCAGTAAAAATAAAATTAATAACATAACTTTGCGGCATTCCTAGGGGGAGGTCAATTTTCAGCGGTGGAAGTCCACTTACAACCCTACTCACACACGTTTGTATGGTACAGACAAGATCCAGAGCCATCTGTGTCCAAATACTGGGTCTGGGTCTGGACCCAGATCAATATTTCATTCAAACTCACTGTAGACAAATGCAGCCAACCACCTAACACATCTATTTAAATTTTGAAGGAAAGCATTTACTAATAAACTTCACCTACCATTATTTTAAATTGCACACCTGGAACGCGATACGTGGAGCGTCCAACCTCTCCGGTTGACCTTTATTCTCGACCTGTTAAGGTCACTTGACTTGCATACGTTAAATTGTTTTATATTATTATTCATTACATTATTATTATTACATTATACATAGTATATTAATATTACATAATACTTATTGATTTTTTTTTATTTACCACTGGTACCAAAAATACCGCTGTCCTGGGAACATTATAACTCAATTTGCAAAAATTTTATTGACATATTCTCGTTTTTTGTCCCATAAATGAATAACTAATTCGGTGAAGTTGGTAAGTCTATTAATTACCATTACAAGCTTATATTTTTTCCTAATGTTTAAGTATGAAATTCTTTATTCTTATCAAAGCTATTTATGTTTAATTATTCATTACATTTTCATAAATATAGTCCGATGCCAAAGTTATTATATTTATTTCTTCATTTTTTCTCTTTGGTACTCTTTAAATTTAAGTTATAAATCGCTCGTTCAGCTCTCTTTTGCACCTCATATTATTTTACACCTTACTAGCACATGATGAAAAGCATTTTAATATTTAGAGAAAACACCAAGAAAATAAGTCTGATTCATGTATAAATTGTTTTCCATTACCAAACTCAATTTCATGTGCGAATAGTGATTGTTTATAAATTTGTTATAGCTATTTAAAAAAAAGTTGTCTAATTGTCATGAATTTTATCGGTCAGGCTAAGTATAATACAAACAACTAATAAAAAATGCAAAAAAAAATCTATCCCTCTTATTTGCGCCAAAACGGGGGGTGTCACCAGTGACACTATGGGTTTCAAAGACAATAAACAGGTTTAAATTATTGAATGTTTTTATTAAATTAAAGTAAGGTAATTCCGTGTTTTTAGATTCAAATTGATCAACAATTAAATATTAATAGTATTCAGTATGTGGAAGTTTTGATTTTAATTATTGTGAAGTGTGAAAACAGAAAAAACAATTACGATTTACATTGAAACATAAAAATATGTTGCAGTCTGAACATTTAACAAAGGTTTGCTGGTTACACGAGCTAAGGCGACATTTTGCCCTACCGCCCTTCACAAATACGGGTAAGTGTTTTGCTTCTTTAAGTCTCTTCGCTACGTGAGGAATTGGTTCAACAAGTCTACGTTTTCGCTGAGTCTGCAGAGCTTCAATGTTTAATTCGTCCAGTTCTTCAGAAGGACTATCACGAGCAACGCGCGACTGGACAGGACAGAAACGAGTATCGCGAGACAAAAGTGAAAGCGAGGGACTACTGCGGGTGACTCGCGACAGGTCAGGACTGGAACATTGGGGCGTAACCAATATTTGACTTCCAAATATCAAATGTTTCGCCAGATCCATTTTAAAGTCCAGATATTGTTTAATATCTTTTCTTGGAAGGCCACTTTTGACAGCATCTTCCCGATATTGAATCCACGAAGCAGCTGCAGCAAAATCGAAAAAATGCAGAATAGCGCGAACGGTCCACTTCCCTGTTCGGCCGCGCATTGGGTATTTGCCAATTATGCGATCCAAAAGGTCAATTCCACCCATGTACCGGTTATAGTTTTTGATCGCTACTGGCTGTGGAATGGCAATGTACTGCTGCTCCTTCTTACTCCATCGCCGGCATGTCCCCAACGGTTCAACAGCAGTTTCTGTCGAGGCAAGATGTATAAGTTTGCTGTCTAGCCATTTAACAACAGCGATGGCCCTGTCTTGCCTGACGATACAGTCGAAACTCCCCCTTCCCTCGTTTATCTATCAATGTAGATTGAAGAATGTTTAGGTAAGGTGTCTACGAGTTTCAACACAACTCGACCGCCAAGATCAAGTTTCTCTGGCATTGGATGAAGTGCTGACTCCACAGTGGTCCCCCCTCCTTGATATAAATACAAGTCCAAAGGAAGGCCATTAGGATTCGCTAATAAAAAAACTTTGATTCCTTCAGGATTCGGTTTTCCCCTTACGACCTGCTTCATTTTACATTTACCTGTAAATGGTATAATTTGCTCGTCTATGGCGATATTTTGGGATCTTTGGTTTTGTCTACAGCCGGCTTCGATCGTTGAAACTAGTGGACGAATTTTCCAAAATCTATCTATAGTTTTCATAGAAGGAAATACTATAATTTGGGATGTGCAAGCGGGATTTAGAAAGGGAATGGGATGTACAGATCAAGTCTTTTCCATGCGCATGATCGCGGAGAAGTTTTTGGCCAAAAACCGAAAGGTTTTTTGTGCGTTCATGGACTTGTAAAAGGCCTATGACAGAGTAAATAGGGATGTGCTATGGCAAACACTGAACTCATTTGAGTTGAGCGCTGGCTTGACAGGCATTGGAGTCCCTTTATAGGGACTCTAGTGCTTGTGTTAGGATCAACGGGGTCTACTCGGACTGGTTTGACATCCATAAAGGTGTCAGACAGGGCTGTGTGGCTTCCCCGTGGCTGTTCAACCTATTTATGGACAGTTGTTTGCAAAATTTGAAATTTGAAGAATGCGGATTAAGAATGGGTGAGTTAACCGTCAAATGCCTTTTGTACGCCGATGATCAAGTTATCCTTGCGTCGTCGGCGGCCGAGTTGCAAATGATGGTTACATTAATGAACAGATCATTAAAAGAAAGGGGTATGAAAGTGAACGCAAGTAAGACGAAGGTTATGGTTTTTAAAAGAGAAGAAAGTAAAACGATTTGTGAAATAAGAATAGAAGGGGAGTTGATCGAGCAAGTATTAGTTATTACGCTAAAGTATATCTTCCACAATTAAAATAGTTTACAATGAAATAGAACTGCAGCTGCAATTAGTTTCAGTTGACTACAAAACAGTTCTTAGACACGGACCGTGCTAAATAGTATTGCCAAGTGAAACCAGCGACTCGGTATTAAAAATAAAGAAAAATACCAAAATCAAAAGCAGGCGTGAGTGGAAAAAAATCTCGGTTTGTTTTGGAGTGACGGATCTAGAATCTAGATCTGTTTAATTTAGTCTTTTATTTAAATTAATATTAAATTGTTGACATACACATTTAAAGATAAAGCCAAATATTTTCCTTCAAGCAAAAAGTATATGGTACAACATAACTTTGGTTCTTTCGTCAAAATTAATTCAAAGCAATTTCGTAATAACATACGAGATCCGACACATACTCGTATTACTACGAAATTGCTCCGTATTAGTTAATTATTCCCTCTGAAAAGTAAGCAATAAAAGTAAAATAGAATATAATACATCTCAGATCAGTTGATCGAGCAAGTAGATGAGTTTGTATATTTGGGCTGCGTATTTAGCAGGGATGGGAGATATGATAAGGAAATAGAACGACGAGTGAATTCGGGAAATAGAGTAAATGGGGCCTTGCACTCTATTGTGAAGAGTCAAAATGTGTCGAAAAAGGCACGTATGGCAATTCACAATGCTGTGTTGGTCCCTACTTTAACGTATGGTAGTGAAAGTTGGGTGTGGCAGAAGAAGCACGAGAGTAGAATGAACGCAGTAGAAATGCGGTCGTTAAGGAGTATGTTAGGGCTGAATCTTAATGACAAGGTAAGAAATTGTGTAATAAGAGAAGAGTGTGGTTTGCAAGATGACGTTGTGACCAGGATTAAGAAAGGAATGCTTCGGTGGTTTGATCATGTGGAAAGAATGAATGAGGAAAGAGTGACAAAGAAAATTTATGTTGCAGAAGTGAATGGCAGAGTCGGAAAGGGACGTCCTAGGCGAAAATTTATCGACCAAATTGGCGATTTATTGAAAACGGGCCAAATTAGGAGTACCCTTAACCGACGAGCATGTATGCGGAGGTGTATGGATGTGAAGGAGGCGAGAGAGGTGTGTCAGGATCGTGCCAAATGGAAGTCTGTAGTCTCTGCCTACCCCTCTGGGTGACAGGCGTGAGTATTTATGAGATACTAGCTGATCGTCAACGACTTTAATGTTGCTTCTCAATTGAAAAAATCTAGTCCGTGTTATTGCATTAGCGACTATTGCTGCCCTGGTTTCGGCAGCCCAGAACATACGCATTCGAGGAAGCCCTAACATACCCATAACCATTGAAACGCCTACAAAAGTTCGCATTTCTTCTAAATTTGTATTTAAAGATCTTCCAGTTCTATAGGTGCTGCAAATATTAGTACAGTGTGACATTTGCTCGAAGAATTCAGGTTTGATGTAATGGCAAAAGTATTCATGGGAAGGTTTGCAGATTGTTGGTTCAACTAATGGTGGATCCTCATAAATATTGCTTGGAGAACTCTGGAAGTTATTTGTATGATCCCATCGCAGCGGTCGATTTGTTAATCTCCTAACTCGCTGTACTGAAACAAGCGGCTCTTCGTCTGAAGATTCCCACTCACTACCATCAGGTGACCGGGGCAATACTTCTTCAGGAATGTCTTCCTGCACTGTAGAAAAGTTTTCCTCCTCCTCATCATCAATGTCTTCGAAATCTGACTCGTTAAAGTTAAACAACGCCGACTCACCATCGGCCAATCCTGAAAAAATCAATATTTTAAATCATGAGTGCCGAAAGTGTCACCAGTGACACTCGAAGAAAATGTCGAAAATAATTGACAAAATAGAAATATTTTGAAATATATTTCGCAAAATCCGACAGATCTATGAACATAGCACACAAAAAACACAAAACAATAAAAAAAAACATCTTTAAAATAATATTTACCTCTCCGGTAATTCATCGTTTCGGTACTTGCACAAATTCCAAACTTCAACTAATATTTACGAAGGCAAAAACACTCTCGCGCGAGCCGCAGCCACCTTTTAAACATTATACGTAATATAACGTTTCATTTAACTGTCGTAGTTTTCACTCATAACAAAAGATGGCGCGGGAAAAAAAATAAATTTGATGAAACACAAATAAAAAAGGTCCTATTAAATTTTACGATAAAAATAATATTTTTGGAGTTATGAATGACTAAATGAGATAAATGAATGGGACCGGGGAGGAATTGGTCCTATTCGTACTATAACTATACTACTAATTTAGCTTCAGAATGGCTCGAGCATTTTTTTTTTAAATTTTTAACTGCAGTCCACGGGCACCACATGGACTGCAGTATAACCAATTTTAAACACAGAAGGCTGAATATACGTTGTCACCTCCGAGAACTAAGAAATAATGCTTCACAGCTTGTAATTATACTAGTTCTCTGTATCCTACTGATAGAAAAACAGCAGTACAAGCACTGCTATTTGGCGGCCCAAATTAGTTCGAGCACACATTCCACCTGATGGTAAGTGGATGCTGTGGCCCATAGACATCTATCTATATTTATCCTCGATTAAGAATCAAAGCGCAGATGCGTTGTTACCCCTGAGGACTAAAATAGAATGCCTCTTTTCCAGTAAAAAAGGGTCTCTGAATTTCTACACTTACCATACAAAACATTTTTTACATTATTTGCTTGATTATAAAACAAACATACAGCTGATAATCTAATAGTGACAGTTCGACACAAAGAGTATATAATCACTATGTTTATGGAGTAAGCTTTTGTATAAAGGATAGAATAAGCTGTGTTTGAAAACTAATTGTACATTATTAATCTTGTATTTCGAAACTTAATCGTATTCCTTTGTTTTTTTTTTTGTTTTTGTGTGGTACCTTCTTGCTGCTATGTTAGCAAAATTTAAGTTCTTTTGTATCACACTGTTAAAAATATGTTCTTTTTGCATTACTGTTTGTTTTGGTGAATTTTGTTGTCAAATAGTATCCATTAAGTTATCTTGTTAATTAAGTGACTAACTTAGTGATCAACTAACAGTAAACTTTTGTCTTATTATGCTTTGATCAAGTAGGTTAGTGTTAATTGCTTTTTTTTTAAATTCTTATTATCATTGTAAACTATAGATATTCCTTTGCAATCAGTCAACTGTTGGGTGATGTATAATATGTATTGAGTCGTATTTTGTAGTTAGTCTAACAATAATAACATATTATTATATTATATTTTTTATTTATTTAAAATTTATTATTCTTATATCTCTATTATTAATGTTAGATATGTCGGATGATGAATCTTTTTAATCTGCCCATGATTCATATATCTCGTTCGAGTCTTCTGATGGTAGTGATAGTAAGCTATCCCTCCGCGATGAGCTGATCAATTTATTTACTCCTTGTAAAAACTTGCTTAATATATATCATGTCAATGCTCAAAGCATTCCAATTCTTTATTTTTATTTTGAAGAAGTTTTTTCTATAGAATGTGTTCATTCAATCTTAGTATCAGAAAGTTGGCTAAAGCCATCATTAATGTCCAGCTTATATCCTCTAAATGATTTTGTTCTTGTGCGTAACGACCGAATTGAAAAAGAAGGAGGTGGTGTTGCCATATTATACCTTAGAGCAAACATCGCTTATAAAATAATTTTAGCTTCTCCATTTGCGTATTCTGCCTCACCAGAGTTTCTGTTTCTGGAAATTGATATCAAAGGTGTAAAGGCAATTCTTGGGGTAGTATACTGTCCACCTGCTGTTAATTTTTTCGATGCTCTTGAAAGCGTTCTCACTTCCACTTCATCTGAGTACACGCACTGCATAATAATGGGTGACTTTCAATACTGATTTGTTGAGAAATTCTTCTCGTTCTCAAAAATTTCGGTCAATCATAGAGTCAGTCGATCTCCAAACTCTCCCCTTAGCGGCAACTCACCACAACTTTGACACTGATGACTCATGGATTGATCATATTATCAAGGCTTCTCCCGATTATGTCATTAAGCACGGACAACTATCGGCTCCTGCTTTTTCACTACATGATCTTATTTATATATCATATAAGCTGATTTCTCCTGAACTCAATCCCGTCGTACTATACATTCGTAATTTCTCTAGAATGGATTTTGATAAACTTAAAAGTGACGCCTATCGTATTGACTTAACCTCTTTATTTAAATCAACTTGTATTGACGATAAAGTCTCAATCTATTTGTTCTTTGTAAAAAGCTCCGTTGAAGGTTCACCAGCCTCGTGGATGACTGAGGCCGTAAGGTTGGCAATGACTAGGCGAGATCGAGCATTTGTGAAGTTTAAGAAGCATCGTACACAGGACAGCTGGGATCGCTACAGAGTGCTAAGAAACAGATGCAATCAGATGGTACGAAATGCTAAACGCCGTTATATCCATAGTAATATTGCAAACTCTTCAACCGATGATGTGTAGAAATTTCTTAAAACATTAGGTATTAGTAAGGCCGTTACATCTGACCGTGGTCCATCAATCACTCTGGATGAAATAAATTATCACTTTATTTCTACTTCTCCTTTGGATCCCACAGTTCGTTCTACGACAATAGCTTCTATTCAATCCATGCCATCTCCTCCTATTCCTTTTTTTCACTTCTTACCTGTGACTGAGGATGAGATACAGAAATCTGTACTAGCTATTAAATCCAAGGCTGTGGGTTGCGATGAGGTTAGCAAGGTTATGGTATCCATGATCCTTAAATGCCTTTTGCCCGCAATCACACATATCATAAACTATTCCCTTGACTCAGGTCAATATCCTACTCAGTGGAAAAAAGCATTAGTGCGACCACTTCCTAAAATACCTAATCCCTCATTACCTACCCATTTCCGACCAATTTCAATATTGCCATACCTATCTAAAGTTCTGGAAGCCTGTGTTCACAAGCAAATCTCTATGTTCATAACCAAACACAATCTGCTGAATAAATATCAGTCAGGCTTTCGTGCAGGTCACAGTACTACCACTGCATTGATAAAAGTAACAGATGATATTAGAATGGGAATGGACGAGCAAAAGCTTACGGTGGTAGTGCTTGTTGACTTTTCAAATGCTTTTAACACAGTCGACCACGATATCCTTATAGTCTTCCTAACTACTCTTAGATTCTCAATCCCAGCTTTGGAATGATTTCCATCCTATCTTCGTGGCCGCCAGCAATCAGTACGATTAGAACAAGAGTTCTCAAGATGGGTTTACATTGAAACAGGCGTACCGCAAAGCGGAATACTTTCTCTTTTAACGTTTTCTTTATTCATAAATTCTATCACTTCAGTTCTCAACTGTTTGTACCATCTGTATGCAGATGATCTTTAGCTCTATGTGCAATCTAGTGTTAACGACCTTAATGATAATATTCGTAAACTCAACCACAATCTCGGTGCCATTAGAGATTGGTCGTACAAACATGGTGTTTTGGTTAACCCAACCAAATGCAAAAAAAAAAAAGCAATTGTTATAGGTAGTAGCAGAATGTTAGCTAAGATTAATAACGATAACCTTGCTCCCGTATTTTACAATGGCACGTTGTTGCCATTTTGTATGTCTGTCAAAAATCTTGGCTTACATATAGACCATACCTTAAGCTGGGCAGTTCAAGTTGCCGAAACAAGCCGTAAAGTAACTGCCACCTTACGTTCTCTTTGGCATCTCAAAAACTTTCTGCCTTTTAAAACTAAACTTCTGCTAATCCAGACTTTGATATTACTCATTATTGATTATGCGGATATGTGTTACCCAGATCTATCTCAATATCTTCTTGATAAGTTGGAGCGCCTTCTCAACAATTGCATTAGATTCATTTTCGGCTTACGTAAGTATGACCATATTTCCCAGTACCGATCTAAGCTTAAATGGCTATCTATTCGTCAAAGGCGTAGCTCCAGAACTTTGCAAGTACTACATTCAATTTTAAATGACCCCAATTCTCCCTCTTATCTTAAGGATAACTTTCAATATTTGTATTCTACTAAAGATAGAGTTCCCCGTTCCCAAAACTTGTCTTTAAATTCGTATTCCACCACATAGGAGTGGTTTCTGTAATTCCTCATTTACTGTGCAGCCTATACTGCTCTGGAATGCCTTGCCTGTTTTTATCAAGAAAACTAATAACAAGAATTATTTTAAAAGACTAGTTCGAGAATTCTGTCGTAAGAATAATACCACCTGACTATCCGACTATTGTTTTTGTTTATTTTTTCTCTTTCACTTTATAAGTAATATTTTGTATAATGTATTTTAATATGTATTGTGTTATTTTATTTTTGTCTCATAATATTTTATTTACTTATAGTTTTGTATAGAAGTACCCGTTTATATATTTATTATTTATCCTCTATTATATATTAAGTAAGTATGTATATTTTACTAACTATATATCTATTCTATTCATTTGCATTTTATTTTGTTTTATATCATTATTATTTATTTATGAAGTGATTGATTACACCTGCCACAGTTTTTCAATTCATCCAGGGTTGACTGGCAGAGAATGCCATAAGGCATTAAGTTCGCCCTTTATATCCCTTAGTGTATAAGGTGTATAATGAAGATTAAATAAATAAATAAATAAACACAGTAGTATTAAGCTGTTTTATTTTACGATGGTGTTCTATGAGAGCGTGTTCCTTCCACGGTCGAGCCGACTAATTCATGCTACAACCATAATATAGCTGCAGTGTGGCTTTACCGCTTATAAACCACGTATGTACCCAACACATACAATCAGAGCAAACCCAACGCATAGTAGTCAAGTACTCTAACGCTTGGCCATACGGTCGTCGATTTGATGTTTCGTTCAATATTTGTTATTATTATAAATTTTTGACTGTCACAGATAAAATAATTTGATAAAAGCACATGACTTTTATTTGAAGAAGCTAATATGAAGCTTTACTGGGTAAACTGTCAGACCCGTCTCATCAACG